CTTTTACTCCCAAGCCAATATGGAACTATAACTATATATCTGTTGTTTTGGTAAATTCTAATTGTAAGTATATAATTAGAATAGAATTTAGTTATATTTATGCCCACGAAAGGAAGGTAAACAAAATGAATTTTTTATTATTATTTTTATAACATTTATTCAGATATTATTAGATTATTTATTAAGATATTGGAAAATCTTCCTGAAATGTCAGAGGTAATTGTTGTAGGCCATTCGGACCTGCACCGAAATCGTCCATATTTAGCAAAACTTAACTTCAAAAAGATAACAACTATAATAAAGCTATAAGAAAACAACAATAATACAATAACAATTCAAAACAAGAAAAAAGGCAATAAATAACATTCACAATTAATGAGAATCCCAGATTACGTAATTTGACTATTATGAGTACATCATAATCTGACAAAATTAAAAAGCTGTACTACCGAAACGTTTGAAGGGATTAAGCAACGTTTTAAATTTGCTAGAGTTATAGTGACATTAAAATCATGCTCTCTAGGTTCTTTAAGATGAACACTTTATTGTAAAAGTTATTAAATCTTTTAAGTTAGTCAAATACTCACATTTTTGTTAAACAGATAACTTAAACGACAACTGTTCAATACCAGCTGCTATGCTGGTATTTAGGTGGATATGTAGCAAATAAGCCGTCAGTCTTAAGAGTAACATGATTGTTAATATTTTGTCACAAAGTATACCATAAAAAGAATCTTATTTAACTTCTGTCTAATGCTATATATAATGAATGGAGTATAAGTATGTATTAAAGGTAAAAATTATTTGTTAAAATTAAACGTGATATTTGAACATGTTTTCGTGTCATACGTTTTTATTTAAAAATATTCGTTCTAGGCTCCTTGAAATACTTTTGCCTCTAAAGTTTGGCATATTTTCATCATTTTTTTTTTTTAATTTCTTTCGTGCTCGACCAAAAAAAATACTTATAAGCACGTGTGCAGTAAAAGTGAAATCCTTTATTTCAGAACATTTTTATTTAACACGTGTTTAAAGACTCACTTTCGGTCTTACAATGGATTAAAAAAATAGCGCTTTATGAGCAACTACATTGAAAAGCAATGAATGAAACTCTTAATGATAAAGAATTATGACTACGGATTTGACAGCAGGGTTACCAAACTTCGTCACTTATCCCAAATGATTTCCACCAGAAGACTTGTTAGTGTAGCATATGTAAAGAAATATAAGGTACTTAAATATGAAATTGGTGTTTGGTATGAGGGGGAACAAAAAGTCGAATATTTTTTAATATATATTTTTTTATTTACAAGCAAGCAAGGTCCTGGGAGTACGGTGGATGTCTTAGACATTCCAATTGAAGCTCTTCTAATTTGGTAGCCGTCTGTTGTGCAATGTGTGGTCTAGCGTTGTCGTGAAGTAGCATTGGCGTAGAGCGATTGACCATCCTCGATTGTTTAACAGCTAGTTTTTCCAGCATGGTTGGCAGTTGCTGACGATAGACGTCTGCCGTAATCGTCTGACCAGATTTGAGAAAACTGTAATGAATGACACCAACACTACACCAAACGCTTACAAGTAACTTTTTTGAGGAATTTTCGGTTGGGGCAGGATTTTACTGGCATGCCAGGGTCCAACCATTGCGATGAGCGCTTCCGATTATCGTAGAGAACCCACTTTTCATCACAGGTGATGATTCGATTTAAAAACCCTTCATTATTGTGCCGGTTAAGTAATGTAACGCAGCAGTCGAAGCGTGTTTGCTGGTTTGCTTCACTCAATTCATGAGGTACCTACCTTTCAATCTTTTTAATCTTTCCAATTTGCTTCAAGTGGATTAAAACAGTTTTATCACAAACAACGCAGCATGCAGCTAACTCAGACGTGGTTTGCGATGGCTCCGCTTCCACAATAGCCTTCAATTCTTCATTATTAACTTGGGTCTCCGGCCGTCCACGGGGCTTGTTCCGCAGTTCAAAATTTCCAGAACGAAAACGTTGGAACCAAAAGCGCATTGTATTTTCTTTTTTGCGACTGTATTTTATATTGCGACACAACCGCCATACACATCATTAACCCTTCGAGCCGTTTCCTCAGCACTGGTACCACGGTGGAACTCGTACTCGTAAATAAGACGATATTTTAAGTTTTCCATTTTTTGTACTGGGTGACGTAAATAGGACCAACAGAAGTAAAAAAAAAAACAAATCAATGCCGTCTTATGAAACACAAATATATGTGTAAATGGCTGTATAAATTTGAATTTGGAATTCCCACCCGAGGAGCAGAATTTGTGATTAAAGTGGCCAGCACAATAAAACGCCAATTTCATATGTAATGACCTAATATTGCCACATCTTTATCGCATTGTTTATCGCCTCAAGCTATCGCATTAATTAATTTCTAATTATTTTTTCTAATATCAGAACGGGGCATGCCCTTCTCCACACGTTATATGGTTACACCACTAAATTCAAAAACGTCGATCTATTTGCCGAGTTCTTTGTGCTAGATCTACTCTTACAAGATGGAGCAGTTGTCGGAGCACTCGCGATGGACATGGAGAACAGTACTCTTCACAGGTAAAAATCACTAGAGTAGTAGTAGTAGTAATGATCACCTTTTTGAAACTTTTCCGCAACATATATTGTTATAGCTGCCAGAAGTTCCGAATATGTGTCCAAGATTTCACTAATCATTTCTTGAGCTCACAGTTTTTAATAGGCTTCATGTAAGCCATAAAACACTGCAAGGTGTGCAGAAATGGGGCATTACATGCTTATATACTTCATTTACAATTTTCACCTTAAAGTCAGTTTCCCAAAGGACTTAATTCAGAGACGCACAGGCCTTATATCTAATTGTTTTCACTAATATAATTGTACCTATCTGCCGTAATAAGTATCATTATCGTCAACTATCCAAAGTTTTGGGAAGCGAGTGTTACTGCACCTGCACTCACCAACAGAACCACTAAAGAACCAAGGAACTGTCGTACCGAAATTACTATATCCACACAAATAAGCCTTTGTACCTACTGTGTTATATTTGGTTTATCTATATTTCCGAATGCATATAGTCCAGACGTATTTATAGCGAGAGTGAATAGATTTCTTCTAGATAAGCTCGTCACACTATAGATCTCACTCATGCTTTTTGGCTTGTTTGATCAAAAATGACCCTATCACAAATATAAAAACATCTATCATTTGATTACAGATTCCAAGCTAAGAATACCGTGATTGCTACAGGGGGATACCCTAGGATGTTCTTCTCATGCACGGCTGCTCACACATGTACAGGAGACGGATGTTCTATGGCATGTCGCATAGGGGTTCCTCTCCAAGACATGGAGTTTGTGCAGTTCCATCCCACTGGCAAGTTTTGCGAATACATTTTGTTACCTTGGCGCATAATAATCGGAATTCTGTTTCTTCTTCTTAACTTCAGAAAAGCGAAAAACTTATTAAAAATACACTTGCTGATGAACAAGCAGTGCACATTATTCCAATATGTAAAGATAAAAGATTTAACTACACAATGACCACACATTTGCCTGACTAAATTTTAAAAAATAAAGTTTAACTTAAGACAGATTCAGAATCTGTCCTTGGCATTTATAATTACTATAAGGGCCCAAAGATCTGCCCATGTTTTTGGTGCATTTGGTAATCCTATTAATATTATAAATCTGAAAGTTTCTTTGTTTGGATGTTTAGATGTTTTGGATGTTTGTCCGTCAATCACGCCAAAACTATTGAACGGATTTTGATGAAATTTGGTATAGAGATAGGGTATTAGCTGACTTAGATAATAGGATACTATTTTATCCCACTAACATTTCCCTAGGGTCCACGCGGGCGAAGCTGCTGGTGAAAGCTACTAGATTTATAAAGTTAGAATCACGTTAGACTAATATCCAATTTTATGCTACTAGGCATGTACGGCTCTGGGTGTCTAATGACAGAAGGTTGTCGAGGAGAGGGTGGTTTCCTGGTGAACAGTGAGGGTGTGAGATTTATGGAGAAATACGCACCAAAAGCTAAGGACTTGGCTAGCAGGGACGTGGTGTCCAGATCTATCGCTACAGAAATCCGCCAGGGTAAATTTTAGTAATAATTTTAGATTCAACTCGTTAAAAAAATTATAAAGTATACTGTGTTTTACTATCTAGTATCTTCTTTAAGTTGAAACCTCTTTAATTACAAGTTTAAAACTCCAAAGTTATAAGACATTGCCTTACAACAATTACAACAACATACAATCACACGCACTTGGAAAATGAAACCGAGAACAACAATGTTTTGTTGTTATGCTGTTTACAATCTCAGCTACATCTAAATTGCGTGCGTTTAAATGCTTTATTTAACTGTATGTACCTAATAATTAAGAATTGTTTCACATCATATTATCATTATCATCCCCTTATTTCGTCCCCACTGCAGGGACTCAGGCCTTCCTTATGAATGGTTAAGGAGCCCCTCCACGCTGGCCCAAAACGGATTAGCGGGTACGACTACAAATACAGCCGGGACCAACGGCTTAATGTGCCTTTCGAAGCACGGACTAGCGCTAGATAATAATTTTTGGTCACCTATTCCGTGCGAAAGTTGCTTAACGACAACGATCGTATGCCACAGCGCTTATCCACTACGCCACCGAGCTACTTGAGAATATTATAATATAACCATATTCAAATTCATCTTTTTGCTTAAGAAAATAATAAGGAATAGAAATAATCGAATAGAAATACGATCGGCATTGGAAGGTACCAATTCTTTCTTACTAACTACTCCCTATCCTAAATGGAGCTAGAGTTATCGCTGGTACTAAGCTCTTTTGTATGTCTATTGTGTCAGCTAATTCTCGCCCAAATACAAAAGAAGTTTTAGAATTCGTTAATCACTTTTGTAGTTATTAAGTTGTACTTTTCTATTTTATGAAGCATTTTATACAAACATTTTTTATTAGGACGCGGTGTAGGACCAAAGAAAGATCACATGTACCTACAGCTCCACCATCTGCCGCCTGAAACCATCAAGGAAAGATTACCAGGCATCTCAGAGACAGCCATGCACTTCACAGGGGTCGATGTGTTAACACAACCTGTACCCATCATTCCCACTGTCCACTACACCATGGGAGGCATACCGATCAACTATAAAGGAGAGGTAAATTAGATTATTAGGAAAAGATATATATATCGTAGGTTATTCAAGTAAAGTGAAAATAGCTAAAGAATTCTCTAATGTGTGTAGCGTTGTTAGGTTTAAATTTCATTCTGTGTATTTGGAATCCTAGTTTGAAGTACCCATAGCCTATATTTCGTAGGTGATCTTGTATGACAAGGGATGCGATGTCGTGATGCCAGGCTTGCATGCGGCGGGTGAGGCTGTCAGCAACTGCCATGAAGTACCCATTGAAGTACCCATAGCCTATATTTCGTAGGTGATCTTGTATGACAAGGGATGCGATGTCGTGATGCCAGGCTTGCATGCGGCGGGTGAGGCTGTCAGCAACTGCCATGGTGCCAACCGGCTCGGCGCCAACTCAATTCTGGACATAGTCGTCTTTGGAAAAGCTATCGCAATCAACATCGGCAAGCTTAATAAGCCGGGCGATAAACAGCCTAATCTTAAAGACGTAAACTCTATTTTTATTTATTTTTCTTTCTAATAGGGACAACACTAATTGCCCAACAGTACTGAAAATTATTCTCTTAAGTTTTTTATTAACAATTGGACTTTGAAGGAACGTAAGAGTTTAGGGATTTTTAGCATAAAATGTAGCGAATATCTAAAAATACTACAGCAAATCTCCCTAAATTTAAGATTAATGAAATCATAACAATATTTTGTTAATTAAGTCAATAGAAATACTTTTTTAGGGTTATATTTGCTCAAGACTTACTTAGTAAAAATAATTTACGACTACATTTGAAACCCTAGTGTCTTGGGATGGATGTTTGGTGTTGCGCTTGATGTGCTCGCGAAAGAACAATATTGTGAAAACAGTATGAAATCAACCAATATTTTTTCATCGTAGTAATAATATATCTTAGTGAAAAATACTTAAAAATCCATCAGTCTACCCCGAGATGGGAATCGAACCCCACAACTTTTCACAATTCGAGAGACTGCACTAACCATTTAGCTACCCGAGATCTGACTGAACTGACGAATTTTTTTCGCTACTAGTGATCATATTTTCATCAATGTTCAGGTAATCCACCTAAACAGCCGAAAGATATATTTTATACTTTCTTTTAAGATGAGAATTTATTCTATTTCATTAATTTTGCATTCACAATGCTATACAATGGCCCTCAGGCCATAGGACGTAAGATTAAATTTTTAACAGAACTGGTGGATTTTTAAAGCATTTTTGTATTAAAGATACATATTTATCAGTATTACATTGTAAATTCAAAATTGATCAAATATTATAATAATAGTTTTGAGTTTAAAACAAAATCTATAATTTCTAATTTAGCCACATATAATATGTTACGTTATAATACTACGTTTTATTTTGAATACTTTCAGAACATCTGTGATTGTAGCATTGATAACTTTGATAAAATCCGTAATGCTAAAGGATGCGTGCCAACTCACGAACTTCGAGAAGCAATGAGAACTACAATGCAGAATAAATGTGGGGTGTTTAGAGATGCGACACTTTTAAACGAAGGTAACAGTAACAATTTTCAATTTTTAGACTCCTATGACAAATACTTAATAATTAATTATTAGCCCAGAGCCGTGATTCTCAGATGTTCACTAATCTTGCGACTGGGTTATTTGAGTTCATTTCTCAAGTACTCTAATGGTGGGTTGTTCAATGAAATACTTGTGTAATTCTTCTAGTTCTCGATTTTATTTGCAAATCATATACTTTAAATTGCTTACAACTAAATTATAAGATACTGACTCTATACCGATCTCGATCAGAAAAAAAAGATTATCAACCAGCAAAACACGAACACGCAAATTCGAAAAAGTAATAATTATAAATATTAGTGGCCAACATCGACATAAATCGTCCGGAGAGTAAACCTAACTATAGTAATTTGCACGGACGTTACAGTACCTACTTGTCATTAGATTTTCTCCGACCTTTAAAATTTATCTCCGCAAATCTGTTATAATTAATTCGCAGTCTGGTATGTTACGATATTTTTATAGTGTATTTTTTCATAAAATAAATATCAAGTACTCAGAATAAAATAAATATCAAGTAATTATAATCTTAATTGATATTAAGATTATAATTATTTATGATATGTATTTGATATTTATGTTGATACATCAGACAATATACGTAGATACTCTTCGCATAGATTCTAAAAAAACGCTACGAATTCTAATACAGAGAAAGAGAGAGAGAGAGAGAGAGAGGTTGAGAGGAACTTAGGGGCGCGGTAGCTAGCGCACGCGGTCTACGATGAGGAGGTTAAACAACTTTCACTATAACCGGTTATAGGATGGATGACCGAGAATTGATTACCTCTAATTTCTTCATGCCGCACGTTAACCCATTGTTCTCAGCTGCATCTGCAGTCGTTGTTAACACCAACCCATCCGCAATGAACTAGCCTTATTACGAGTTATGCTTCTCTCAATCGGACTCCATTTCTAAGAAAGATCTGTACTTCAGAAGTGGGGCCTATTAATAGTAACAGGCTCATGAGGATGACTCTATGTTATCATCATCATGTTATGTACAGATCAATAATATTTTTTACAGCTAACACCGAAATTAAAAAGTGGTTCCTGGCTTATAAAGACATCAGAGTTAGCGACAGACGGCTGAATTGGAACAGCGATTTGATCGAAACTCTGGAGTTGCAGAACATGTTGGAGGCTGCCGTGCAAGTGGTAGCTTGCGCCAAAAACAGAACTGAGAGCAGGGGTGCACATTTCAGGGACGATTTTCCTAAGAGAATTGACGAATTTGATTACAGTAAAGATACAAAAGGACAGGTAAAATCTAATAAACTTTCAGAAAAGTGTTTGTGTGATATTTTTTACAAAATAATAGAAATATTTCTATATTTTTTTGAGATCACAGCATTAAAAATCTTTACACTATTGCGTTAGAAATAAGGAAAGCGTCGCTCGTGGGCAAAAAGGACAGGAGTAATCTACATTTTGCTTTCACCACATTCTAATAGAATATTAGTACATGACACTATATGCCAATGAATTTACGAAAGCTATATCATATTTTTGAATATTATTAATTTTGTCAATTGTAGTGGATATTAATTAAGTAATGACATGATTTGCATAAAACGTCGTTAATATTGTTACGAGCTGGCTTTATTAACTTTTGAAGCCGTTTTTATTTGCACCTTGTGCTGCTGATTTTTAATGGTTGAATTTATAGGTGAAAAATTGTAGGACAATACAAAAGAAGTAAAAATTTTAGGACAATTCAAAAGAGATAAAAGTTGTAGGATAATTCAAAAGTACTACAAAAGCTTTAGTATTTCGATAAACAATATTTTTATTTTATAGACACAGAAGCCGTTCGAGCAGCACTGGAGGAAACACAGTCTTTCTATGGTAGACCTAAATACAGGTGACGTCAAGATCACTTATCGTCCCGTCATAGACAAGCCACTGAATGACGAAGTGGCGTGGGTACCACCGGTGCCAAGGGTTTACTAACACTTATTGGATACGTTAAAATACTTATTTTGCTCTATTTTGTTTATTATTATATTAAAAGTATTTATTGAGATCTCGTACTTGGGACTTTTAGTAGTTTAGCTAAAACCTTTTTTAATAGTACCTTTATTAATACGGAGGCTGAAATTCATCACGGGCAAGAATAATTTTCTTGTTACTATAAATTACAGGAAATTTTCACAGATAGCACAGATGTTATTCTTTGCATTGTGTTGTTTCGAGCTCTTGTGTCTGCCTAGTTAATTTTTTTAATGTTACTGTTTTATTAATTTGATCAGTTTTGCATTCAAAATGCTATACTGATAAATATTTTTAAATAAAAAATGTTTATTAAGTTCACCAGACCCATAACGATATGTGGTGAGATTGTAATGCAGATTTAAAACCAAAATTAGTAACTTCTTCTTCGTTAAACTAGTAAAACCCATGAAGGTATAATTTTCAACAAATATATTACCTGTGAATCGATGCGGCGCCTGTCCAAATATCTTTGAATCACAGTAACTTCCCTTCCATAACATGTAACCTTTATTTAACTTACGACCCCTCGACGATCCCTTGCTAAGCGACCGGCATTACGTGAGCCTCGCATTAGGTGATAGCTCTATAGTTCTTGTGAGTCTTTAGATGTCACAGACACTGGTCGTTTAAGGGATGCGTGCTGGCACACCTCGCCAGGTGTTGTAGCTTATCAAATCAATGTGTTAGCGATATTGACTGATTAATAGTATTGGTGCATAGATTGCTCAGTGATCAGTTTATTATGTTTACAGTGCAAGTGTACTTTTATTGAAATTTCTAGTCCTCTATTGGTAGGAGCAGCAGGATTTTTTTCCCAATCCTCCGATTTATAGATATGGTAGTAAGAGCGGGAACACATTTTCCCATACCTACGATTAGATGTATTTTGTTTTTATCGCTCACTTAGCTGGAGGTTTGAAAATAGTATGCCCACTTCTCCTACCAAACATATTTATTAATAGGAGGATTGGGAAAAAATTCTCGCTGCTCCTACCAATTGGAAGTCTGGAAATCAATCGAATGGAGATATCGCCTAAAGATTACGACGTGAACTAAAATTATTTGGTCATGTTTGCACTCACAATGTTATAAAAACGGGGAGGAGAAACCCTGAGTTGGAACTAGATAAGGGACTGGGAAATTTTTAAGAATTTTTCTTTAATAGGCCTATTACATTTCGAATGTGATGTTTGCGTAAAATGGTGAAGTTTGAAGTTCTTGATCTCCTTATCAAAAAATATTAATAATTTTAACGTTTCGAACAGTGTAGAGTAACTATTGGTAGCATCTTCGCTTTTTGTAAGTTGTGGTTTACTTTTTAATGAAATCCAAAATTGTCAGGAAAGATTTTCATTAAACGCGCGGTGGCTCTTGTTGAGTTTCTGAATTGAGCTACTGGTCTAAACAAAAGAAATAAAAATAGAATGTTATATATATCTTATAAATTCATTAGTGTGGAGTGTCTCGAAATTTTGACATATCTTTGATTAAATATGGAGAAAGTCATATTATTAGCCGAAAATAGTTAATACACTTCGAAAATAGTCATAAGTTAAAAAATATATATATTACTTTATAAGTAATAAAGATTTCATAATTTCAAATTTAATATCCTATTTCAATAAAAACGAAAAATGAAACGAGCTCAATTTGTATGGCTGGGTAGCGAGGATGTTTGTATTTGTAAGTAAAATTAAAATAAACTTCATGTTTCCAACACATTCTATTTCTACAAGAGTACTTTTTTTGAGTTGGGATTACTTGCTTGCATTTTAACATACCAAGTGCGAGTCGGAGTCCCGCATGAAGGATTCCGTATAATTATTTATAAATAAAATAAATTATGGAGTATCTGAGACAACGATGATATCAAAACACCCACACCCAAGACAACACAAAAAAGCCAATTTTTTACATTGACTAGACCTGGAATCGAACAAGCATGTGTACCGCTCGATTATAGAGGTCGTCACACGGAGGTGCACTAATGTATAAAATACTCAAAAAATCACATTAAATATATTTAAAAAAATTGTTGTATCCTTTCTTATGGCGGCATAGGAAATACATCATCTGTGAATATTACTAACTAGCACAGTTCTTAAGAAACTGAAGACAGACAGACAGGTATTGGAAAGATGGACGGAAAGCGGAGTCTTAGTAATAGGGACCTGTTTTACGCTTTGGGTACGGAATACGGAACGAGTATTATGTTAAGTGGCACTTAAATAAGATGCGATTCTAAAGTTGAAGATAATGTTAGCGCCGCCCTGACACGAGCGCCTTGCTTCAATTCAATTCAATTCAATTGGAACCAGTAGTTCAGTAATTCCTGAGATTTTCGCGTTCAACTAAACAAACAAACTTTTCAGCTTACACAAGACCACGCAAGGCCAGTGGCGGAAAGCTCGTAATAAGTAAAATAACGCTTCGCAATATACATAGGAAGTGTACAAAAGCAACTTCAATTGTATCAATTGTATTTCTTTTATAAAACGAGGCTTCAATTGTCGTCTTAATCCACTTAGTTTATGGGTAATTTGTAATGTCAGGGGCTACTGACATGGTAGGCGTTCCAACACGCCCCTGCACCCCTCATTGAGCTTCAACCGGGACTAATTAGCACCACGAGTAGTTAATGTCGACTTAAACATGAAACGTGGTTTCATCTAGTAAAGGACTTCACGCTCGTTCGAACAGCTGCTTCCAGCACCATTTTCGGGTTACGCCTATCTATTCGGAAAAAAGGGCTGCCCTTGCCGAGTTCTTGCCGGGCTTTTCAGTACATGATCTCCTGCAGTAGATTTGCACCGATGGCATATCTTTCAATTGTAACAGACTAGACTGTGTTATTTATATTGAATTTGAATTAGCTTCATAAGAAATAAAGGAACAAACAAATATAAAAGCCTTCCCTTCCCTATGGTTAGATTCAAATAAGTAGGATGTTTTTTAACAGCGGTGAGTAAACGACTAAAGCACGAAAAAGCTGGATATAATATTTTTTTGGGTCTCCCATCTTATGGGTAGCTTTTGTAAATAACTTCTACATCGCACAACAAAATTCTTCCTTCCAACTCTTCCTTGAAATAATATCTAATAGTTCCTCCACATTTTAAGAGGATTATTCTGTTTGATTTTTATTGTCTTTATTCGAGTATCTATGGAACCTATTACTTTCCGATTTCAAAATCATAAAGAACGAGATTTATGTTTGACGGCGATGTATATTTTTAATTCGCGATTTGTTGACCGATTTTCAAAATAATTCATATTTATTTACTTGTCAAATTAATGGGTATACAAACATATGCAATGGTGTTATATCCAAGTCAAATCTCAACAAATATCTGCCTAGTTCGGTGTACAAATATTACATAAAATGTCAAATTAGATTAAATTATGCCATGAATTCATAATAAATATCAATAATTAAATTAAGCAATACAAAATTAAATCACGTCACAAAAATGACAATTATATTACATCATAAAATAAGATATCCAGTTATAGAGCAAGATTGTTTGATCGACTTTTAAACTCACAGCTGTTAAAATTGAAAGTCTAAGTTTAAATTATTAATATATAAGTAACTTTGATTAAAACAAAATATATAATAAATATGTCGCAGTCAACTGGGTAAGAGATGGAAGCGCCATTTATTTGATATGAGTTTTCAAATAAATTTTAGTAAGAACTTAAAGCTTTGCTATAATACCGCGATCATGTTGTTAAGGAACTTTGGCAAGGGTCGGTCACGGGATGGGTGATGAAAAAAATATTTTCTTAAACTAAGGCTATGGCACATGAAGCCACTGCATTCCCGGCTGCATTTGCAGACACGTTCACTGTATATTTAATTTTAATCAAAATTATATTATTATATTATAATCAAAGTTAAACTTAGACTTTCAATTTAAACGGCTGTGAGTTTGAAAGTCGATCAAACAATCTAGCCCTAAGGGCCAGTTTCGTAGTCAAATGTCATCTCACCATTTGTTAACTTGACTATAGTTAAAACATTAACAATTTGTTAACTCGCTAATTCGTTTTTTGATGCCAAATTAAACCATAGCCAAATTTAACCACTGGCCAATTTGTTGCCAGCACAATGAGTCGTTCTTTCGGTATACATTGAAATGAGTAATTTTTTTCTGGGTGACAGCACTAACGGTTTGAATGAACGGAGCGAACTATATACCATTTATGACATTAAGATTTTGTTCCAAATATCAAATTGACGAAAGAAATCTATAGATTATCAAACAGTGTGGATGTTTGTGGTTGTTCTGTTGTGTGCACTATGTGTTATTTTTCAGGAAATATAAGGCAATTTCTATAGTAATGTTAGAAAGCAACAAAGATATTTTTTCCACTTATTTTAAACTTAACTTTTTAATGAAAAGCATATATTTGTTTTTCATTTACCTTATAGAGAAATACGTGAAAAGAATATAGTATCCAAATTAGGGCTTGTAATGTTGGAAAATAAATCGTGGACTATGTATTTTATGTACTGTAGGCATATTTACCTTTTTTTTGTCTGTTCGTGGATTTTATAAGATTTTTAATAATTGAATAATTTGGCATATGCCCGTGGAAACAAGAAAAAATATTTTATATAGTCATAAATGTACTAAGGATGATCAAGAGAAAAATATGACATATTTTCAATAACCCTATAACCCAAAAATGACAATGAATATTTTCCTATGAAATTGCATCATAAAACGAAATCCCAAAAATAGCTCATGTTCAAATTCACTATGAAATCATGTAGGTTATAAAAACAACGTAAAAAACAATAACAAGAAACCAAGTAAATACAACGCAGTTGTAAGTACATCTGTTCTTTTAACCATTGGTCATTTACTTAACCTAGCTTCCAGTGATGGTTAATTTTTTTTGACAAATGGTTGTAATTATGACAATTGGTTAGGCTAACTATTAATCAAAAAACATATTTTTCTGATATATTTAACCATTTATCAACGATTTTTACATATGGTTGAGTTAACCACGGATCAAAAAACTGGCCCTAAGTAGAGTAACTGTCTGGTTATTTCTTATTTTATAATGTAATGGGTGACAAGGAGAATCGTTTAATTATGCCATACTAACATGCGAAAGTAAGTCTGTATAATATATCAGTTACGTTCTCACGCCTAATCCCACTAAACAGAGTTGACTTGAGATAGGATGCTTTAATTGTGGTAAAAGGGTTGAAATAGGAAATTAAAGTTTGTATGGAAGTTCGTCATTGTCAAAGATATAATCATGACACCTGATTTCAGGTATTTTACACGATATGATGAATAAATATTCGTTTCGAAATGTTTCCAAAATTATTTAACCACACGGATGAAGTCGCGGTCAAAAGTTAGTTATATAGATAAAAAAATTTATATAATCATCAATCGGCACGAATAAATATAGACAAGTATTTTCTTATATCCAATTATCCAGTTCCATAGTTCCTAACACTCAAGTGAAAAATAATTACCAAACCATCACTTTCTGGTCTAAAATCTTTACATACCATCGTCTTAGTTATCTGTT